TTGAAACTGAAACTCTGTACCTATTAAACAATACCTCCCCATTCTCCCCTCCCCCCAGCCCCTGGCAACCACCATTACACTTTATGATTTTGATCACTCATGGAAATGGAATCATACAGTATTTGTCTTTTTGTGACCGGCTTATTTCACTTAGCATAACATCCTCAAAGTTCATCCATGTTGTAGCATATTGCAGAATTTCCTTCCTTTTTAAGGCCGAATAATATTCCATCACATATATATACCACATTTTGCTTATCCATTTGTCCATTGACGGGTAGTTGGGTTGCTTCTACCTTTTAACTATTGTGAATAGTGTTGCTATGAACATGGCTGTAGAAATATCTCTTCAAGACCCTGCTTTCAATTCTTTTGGGTATATACCCAGAAGTGGAATTGCCGGATCATATGGTAATTCTATTTTTAATTTTTTGAGGAACCACCATACTGTTTTCCACAGTGGCTCTGCCATTCTACATTTTCACCAACAGTGCACAGGGTTCCAATTTCTCCATATCCTGACCAACACTTTTTATTTTCTGTTTTTTTGATAGTAGTTATCCTAATGGGTGTGAGGTGATATCTCATGGTGGTTTTGATTTGCATTTCCCTAATGATTAGTGATGTTGAGCAACTTTTCACCTGCTTATGGCCATTTGTATATCTTCTTTGGAAAGATGTCTGTTCAAGTCTTTTGCCCATTTTTGAATCTGGTTTTCTTGTTGTTGCATCTTAGAAGTTTTCTACTTACTCTGGATATTAATTCATTATCAGATAAATGATTTGCAAATATTTTCCCCATTCTGTAGGTTGCCTTTTTACTCTATGGATGGTGTCTTTTGATGCACAAAAAAATTTAGTTTTCATGAAGTCCAATTGTCTATTTTTTCTTTTTTTACCTGTGCTTTTGGTGTCATATCCAAAAAAATCATTTCCAAATCCAGTGTCATGAAGCTTTTTCCTATGTTTCTTTCTAAGAGTTATATTGTTTTATGTCTTACATTTAGGTCTTTCATCCATTCTGAGTTAATTTTCGTACATGGTATTAGATAAGAGTTCAACTTTTTTCTTTTGTAGAGAGATATCCAGTATTCTTAGCACCATTTGTTGAAAAGACTGTCCTTTCCCCATTGAAAAGGGTCTTGGCCCCCTTGTCAAAAATCATTTGACCTTAAACGGGAGGGTTTATTTTGGGGCTCTCTATTCTATTCCATTGTTCTACCTATCTGGCTTTATACCAGGTACTGCACTGTTTTGATGACTGGACCTTTGTACAGTCAGTTTTGAAATCAGGAAGTGTGAGTCTCCCAGCTTTATTCTTCTTTTTGAAGATTGTTTTGGCTATTTGGGGTCCCTTGAAATTCCATATAAATTTTAAAATGGGTTTTTCTATTTCTGCTAAAAATGTCCTTGGGATTTTGATAGAGATTGCATTGAATCTGTCGATCACTTTGGGTAGTATTGACATTTTAACAATACTGTCTTCCAATCCATGAACATGGGATGTGTTTCCATTTATTTATGTCTTAATTTCTTTCAACAATATTTTGTAGTTTTCATTGTACAGGTATTTCACCTCCTTGGTTAAGTTAATTCCTAAGTATGTTATTATTTTTAATGCTATTGTAAATGGTGTTTTTTTCTTTATTTATTTACTTTTCAGATTGTTTCTTGGTCATGTATAGAAATGCAACTGATTTTTGTGTGTTGACTTTGTATCCTGCTTCTTTGCTGAATTCATTTATTGGTTCTAAGAGACTAAGCCTTTTTATCTAGGGAAACAATATAAGAATGTTTACTTCATTTGTAAATAATAATATTTAGCTGTTATAACAAACTAATATTTAATATAATTTTAATAAAATAATATTTAATAGTATTTAATAATATAATTATAATGAACAAAATAACAATATGTTAATAATTGTTTAAGTAACATATTTAATCTTATATGTCATTTTCCTGAGTGCTTTTAATGTTTTATCTCACTCAGTGCTCACATCAACCCAGAGAGATAGGTGCTATTGGACCCATTTTCATAGATGAGGAAACTGAGGCTAGAGACTTAACTAAAAGTTATTATAACGGTTACCATTGATCGAGTGTCTCTGTGCTCTGAGTACCTTAGATTCAGTATCTCCATTCAGCCTTCACAGCAAAGTCATGGAGCATGAGTCCCATATAGTCTCCAGTCTTCACTGAAACTGTGAAACAGGAGATACTGTCTCCCTATTACTGATGAAGAAACCTGAGGTTTGGGGAAGTGAAACGCTCCCCCAGACCACACATGGGTAAGAGGGGAAGCAGCACACACACCCATTTTCCAGGACTCCACAGCCCCTCCCCCAGGATGAAGTGGGCAAGTGAAGGGGGTTTATCTTTGCTCCCCCTCCCCCCTTATCTTCACCCTCCCTCCCGCCACCCCCTAAGTCAACACCCCAAGAGCCGGATAACCTGAGAGTAAGGTGACACTTAGCCCAGTCACTGACTGTGCATCCCAGACGTCAGGGAGGACACCATGTAGGTGACCCTCCATCTGCCCCTGAGAACCCTCAGCCCCCCAAAGACAACCACAAAGCCCAATGTCAAGGGCATGGGCTTTGGATGCAAACACATCTGGGCTTGAATCTCAGCCCCTCCATGTATTAGTTGTGTGACCTCAGGCAATGCAGTTCTTTCTAAACCGCGCTCTCACTGCTGGTAAAATCAAGAGCATAATGTCTAACTAGGATTGCTCTGATTGAATATGCTGGCGTTGAGAAGTACTTAGCTCAGTGTCTGGCACAGCAAGTGTCCACTAAACGGATAATCCTCACTGTGGTCATCATCCACTCGAGGGCAGGGCCTGAGTCCGCCACATCCTCTGTGGCTTCCCAAGTGCATATAGCACACCGCCGAGCTCAGAGTCAGGCCCAAATAAATGCTGTTAGTGACTAATGGCTTGAGTCGTGGGTGGCCCCCCGGTGCTGAGACAAGAGAGCAGCACCTCTCGTATTTAACTCTGGCACCGACCTCTTTGTTTACATGAGACCTTTACTTTCACCTCCAGTCTGGGCAAGGCATCCCTGACGCCCACAGACTCAGGGAGGGTAAGATGAAGGGACTCCTCGCCCCCTCCTAACACCCAAGTAGCTACATTCTCTGTGGCTCTTGGAGGTTTGCATCTAAGTAAGTTTGTAGGATTTTTACTCAACAGCAAATGTTTGAGTTCTATATACTAAAAGGTTAGAGATAAGTGGTAAAAAAAAAAAACAAAAAACAGACAGAAGTGACCCCTGTGTTGATGATGCTTCAAGTTCAGCAGGAGAAGTGGCAGGTGGGGAAGTAGGGAGATGGGTTCAGAGGTTATTCCAATACTTCGACGTGTTGTGAAGATCAGAGCTTGACGTCTTCCCCTCCCTGGACCTCCCCTGGCCCTGCGCTGCCCAGGGCCCAATTCATCTCTCGAGATTCCAGACCCAAAGCCGCTTCCCCTGAGAGGCCTACTCTGACCCCTCCCCTCTCTGCACGCAATAACCCCACCCTCCTCCATGTGCCAATAAGACCTTGCTCATTTCTCCGGGTAGTTCTTTTCGGTTTGGTTCAGCTCTCTGCTTCCCCAGATTTCCACAGCACACAGCATGATGCCTAGTCCCTTCTAGGGATGAAACAGACTTGGGGGAAAAAAAGGGTGGGGGAAGGAAGGAATGAGTTTTTTATGGTTTTGAGCAAAGCTTTTAACTGTACTAAGTCTCCATTGCCTCATCTGACCCTGGGACAAATAATCCAGTACCATGTGATTTCACATGGTATTATGTAAAAAGTGACATAAAGGTTAATTAGTATTATTCCACTCCAGGGATTCCAGGGAGTGGGGACCTCTTGGGAAGTGCCCATCGAGTTCCAGGCAAAGCCCCTGACCGCCCTACCAGCTCTCTCAGCCCCGTCCCTCCAGCCCAAACCAAGTTCCCAATCCCTGCCTCTCTGCAGAAGTCCTGGGGTCCTGGGGCAGCCCCGGGGTGCCCTGGGCCACAGGGGCCCTTAGCCTTCACATCACACCTTACCCCCCAAAAAGGTGGGGCTGGCTCTGAACCAGGAGGGCCACCTGTGCGCCTGTGTGCTCCTCACCTGTTCCAGCCCAGGGCCGGGGGCAGCTCTGCGACCCCGGGGCCAGGGGCGGCCACAGGAAAGGATGAGAGGAGAGCTGGGAGCTGCATGCGGAGCGCAGCCGAAACTCTCTCCTCGTCTCCCGGCCCACACAGAAGCGTCTTCTGCCTCACCTTCCTGAACACTCAATACCAGTTGGGCAGCCAACTTGGAGTCAGCCGCCACTTCCCTAATGGCCAACGGGCCCCGAGGTGAGAACGGAGCCCACAGGGGCCGTGCAGCTCTTCTCTAAGACATGGCCACTGCAGGCCCGGGGCCCAAGAGGCAGAGTCCCCAGGCATGCAGGACCCCCCTGGAGCTCCCGGGCTGACAAGCCCCGCCTACCCCCCTGCCAGCTGGGAGAGGATGACTCCCTCCCAGTCAAGTATCCCTGCCCTGCCGCCTCCCCAGAGGCCCTGGAAGGGCATGGGGCTCACAGGATGTCATTAGTGGGCTTAGATAAATATCAAGCATAGCCTGTGAGGGACAGACCGTCACAGCCCCTGCAGGCGGCTGACAGAAGAGCTGAGAATTATGTAATGGGGCTCAGCCGTGGAAGCCAGGCCGCTGAGAGCTAGAAGACGGCTTCTGGGTCCACCTCCGCCACTAGCTAGCTTGGTGACGTCACGCAGATGACAGGACCTCCTGGCTTCGGTGAAATGTAACGGGTGGGCCAGCGCCTTGCTGCAAAGTGCTAGGGTTTTATTTTAAATGGCAATGTAAAAGCAGCCCCCTGTGTAGTTCTGGTTGTAAGAGCAGGCTGGAGCTGTGAGCACGGAGCCCAGAGCGGTGGGTCGTCTGCATTCTTCTCGCTAGAGAGGGGGACATCGTCCTCTGTCTGTTCGCACTCCCAAGGGGGACACCTCCTCCCGCAGCCCGGCCCGGCCCAGCCCTGAAGCCTCAGGCCTGTCGGCACCGGGCGCCCTCGGATGCCTCTGTCCACCCTCCACCCTGGGCGTTTCTCGCCTCTGCTTTCCCTGGTGGGAGAACAGGGCCGCCTCCCCTGGGAGTAAAAGAGGATCCCCGAGTCTGGAGATTTTGGGAGCTCCCAAAAGGAAGAGGTACGCATGGGGCCCCTACTTCACAGGCTTGCTGTGAACACCCACATGCCAACATGTCAAGAACTGTGACTGACAGGCCAAAAGGAAGTCCCAGAGAATTCCTTTGACTAGGCAAATTCCCCAGTGGGTTTAAAGGAAGTGCTTACACACATGCACGCGCGCACACACACACACACACACACACATTAAGTATCACCATAGCACAAAGTTCCATACCTTCCCTCTACAGCCCAAGGAAGCCTCCTCCGTCAGGAAGGCTGCCCAGAATAGTGGAGAAGGGAGAAGCTATTGAGCCATTCAATCCAAAACCCACCATGAGGACCCCCTTCCCCAATATACACCAATTGATGGTTCTAACTGGTCAGATTAAGCCAAGGGACACAGCAGCAGCCCTGGAGTTCTGAGGCTGCAGGGCCTCTGAGCGGAGGCTCCCAGACTCAACCCCAGGGAGCTCAGGAACCACAAAATGCAAACGCCCAGGGACCCTTCCTCCTGCTTCCCTCCTTCCAGGCTCTGTCACCTTCTGGAGGCTATTCGGCGGGGCCTGTCCCTTTGCAAATTTTACTCCTGGAAGTTGGGCTGTGGACTGGAAATAAGTTCCATGCTTCAGGTTTGGGGTTTTGTTTTATTTTTTGACACTAGCCTATGTGACACAGCAGCTGGGCTGGGCTCTAAGCCCTTAGCTTTATTGTCTGTATTTCTACCTCGCTGCAAGTTTAATACAGGCACGGTGACTAGTTCTGTCTCCCATTTATAGTTCTACTATAAATAGAACTATAAACGGAAGACAGCATTTCACTTGCCATTGTCTGACACATAAGCTTTATCTGTGATGGGCCGTGTGTGTGTGTGTGTGTGTGTGTGTGTGCCTGTCTGTCTGTGATGGGCCCTATGTGTGTGTGTGATGGACCCTGTGTGTGTGTATGTAACGGGTCCTCTGTGTGTGTGTAATGATCCCTGTGCGTGTGTCTTTCAGTCCAGAGACAAAGCCTGGGTCAGCAGCATGGCGGTGACAACAGGGGATGCCTGTGCCTACGTGGCTGACCAGGACGGCTCTGTACCCGTCTACGACATCGAGGAGTATGGTCTACAGGGACCGGAGCCACAGCCTCCCAGGAGTAGGTAATGAGCTCTCCACGTGAGACACTATGATGAGCACAGCTTCAGTTTTAGTTAAATATTCTGGTTGATAAAATTAAATTGTACCAGTGAGGAAGGGGTCTCTTAAAACCCTTTAAGAACAGATCAGAGAAGAATATTTTCATGAAGGTATTCAGTGTTGGCAAGGCAACAGGAAAATGGCACTCATACCCTCTTGGATGGAGGGTAAATTGGTGTATACTATCTGAAGGGCAAGTTGCCCATGTGCACTAAAGCTTTGAACCAGCAATTCTACTACTAAGGATTTGGCCTAAAGAAAGAATAGGAAACGTGCACAAAGATTTAGTTGTAAGCTTGTGAATCAACATATTGTTTATGAGAGAGAGGAAAATAATAGAGAAACCTAGATGTCCCACATAAGGGGAATTGATTAAATATATGATGGTATAATACACTGGAATATCATTTAGTCATTAAATACGGAAGCTGTATATGAAAATGTATTCACAGGGAAGATATTCATGATAAAATTGTTAAATGAAAAAAAATCAGATCACAAAACAATATTGCAATACGATTCTACCCTTGTTAAAATGAAGAAGTATATGGAAGATTGAAACCCTGGGAAGATATACATCAAGGATTTAACAAATGTTATCTCTTTATACATGAGGTTATAGATATGTTTTATTTTCTTCTTTTGAGAAATCTGTCTTTTCTAATTTTTCTCGATATATAGTGCTTTGGTAATAACAAAAATACATTTAAAATGTTAAAACCCTTTCATACAATTATAGAAGCGTTCATGTTTAGAAAAAATCTAACAGCATGAAAGAATGTAAAATGAAAAGCAGTAGTTGTTTCTCTGACCTCCTCTACCACCCTAACCTGCCTTTTCTGCATCCTAGCAACACTGTTAATGAATTTCAACTTCCTTCCAGAAAGTTTCTATGCATGTATATATGCATATGCGGGAACACATACACACACACCTACAATACATCATTTTCAGGACTTGTTTTTTTCTTTGTATCTCTTGGCCAGCTTTCCATATAAGTATATTTAGGTCTATTTAGCATATTTAACATTTAACATATTTAAATGGCTATGTAATAGTTCATTACATTTCTGTGAAGCCAATTTAGAAGTCAATATTCACATACGTCCCCCCGCCCTTTTTTTGTCTTCTTTTGCCACACCGCACAGCTTGTGGGGTCTTAGTTCTCCAAACCAGGGATGGAACCTGGGCCCTCGGCAGTGAAAGCACGGAGTCCTAACCACTGGGCCACCAGGGAATTCCCTCACATACCTCCTTTTATTCAGTTTTTCCTGTTCCACCACAGGAGAAGTTTAAATGCTAAAGTATGAGAAATGGGAATTTAGAAGTAAGAGTGATCAGCCTTACATTGGTCTTTACTCCAAGTACTGGGAATGTAGCTTTCACCAAGCTATTTCAAAAATCATATTTGATTACTTACATACTCCTGCATGCTTACCAAACCCTAAGTGCTAAAGGAAACCATAGGGTAAGGACCTGGCACAGGCCCCATTTCATGTCTTTGGAGCTGGCATGGGGTCTTGCACATAGTAGGTGCTTGACAAACATGTATCAAATTAATGTAGCAAGACAAATGACTTGCTACACCAGGACCTCTCTCCCTGCTGGACGCCCAACCAGATCCGACCCCATCCTGTAGGGACTGTTATATGGCATCTAGCATGAGGTGGTACCTCTCCTACCATACTCAGGTGTGCTCTTTCCTCTGATTTAGATGTGATGTTCTGGCGGGCCCATATCAGCATGGTGACATTGTGAGTACCATCCGTTTTAGAGTTCAAGAATGTGTAAAAGAGTTCAAATACTTCTCACAGCTTGGATCAAATGGATTCTCTTAGAAGCCCTCCGAATTAGTCAAAGGAGGAGAGCAGTGTTATAATTCTGAAGTCTTCATTTTTCTTGTAAATGGATGATTGCTCCCCTTGAATTGATCTGGTATTTTAGGGTAAGTTTCGAAGCTTAGTAAGTTTTAGATGTTTCTCACTGGAGTTAAAAGGAGTCAGTGCTGGAGCAGGACCTGAACCCTGGTCGGAAGTTTCTTTCCAACCTCTTGATCTTCCCCGCATCGTCCATAAGATGTTTCCAGTATATCTTGTCTGATGTCTTGGGTCTGGAGTTGGGGAATTTGGAGGGGGAGTGACATGGTAGGAGACAGGGAGAAGATGCTGCCAAGGATAATTCTGGAGATTAACCTGGCTTCTTTCTAGATTCCAACTTTAATTAATGGAGTATTGACATACTGAGCCGATGTCCCTTTCATGCTGGAGCAGCCTTGGGGCATCTCTCCTCTCCTTTATCTCATTAGTTTGGAGCTGAGAGAAGAAGAAAAGTTTCTGCTGTCATCCTCCCTGGACCATACCGTGCACCTGTGGAGCACAGACGGGGAGTACATCGGTAAGCACTGTCCTACCTGGCCAGCTGCTCAGTCCTGGTTCAGGGCCTCAGGTGGAGCCTCCATCGGGTCGTGGATTCTCTGAGGTCAGGTGTATTAGTCACCTCAGGCTGACATAACAAAATACCTATCATAGACTGGGCAGCTTAAGCCACAGAACTGTATTTCTCATGTGTGTTCTCACGTGTGTGTTTCTCATGTGTTCTTGCAGAGGGACTCCTTTAATGGACACCAATTGTTGAGTCCTTATATGGCCCAGGGAGTAGGGGGAGGGGTGGAGAAAAAGAGAGAGAGAGAGAGAAAATGCAAATACTCTGGTGTCCCTCCTTCTAAGAACACTCATCTTATTGGATCAAGGTCCTTCTCTTATGACCTCATTTAACCTTAATTACTTCCATAAAAGCCTGATCTCCAAACATAGTCACACTAGGGTTTAGAGTTTCCACATAAGAATTTGGGGGAGGGGGACAAAATCCAGTGTATACCTTAAAGTCGGTTCACTTTCACAGAAACTATCAAAATCAGAGACATTTAAATTTAGAGAACTCGGCGAGACTGGAGGCTGTGAATTTGGTACGGAAGCATGTGATCACGTTTTGCTAGGAAAGATTCAGGACCGGGGGAGCTGTGTAATGGGAAAGGCCTGGCCTGAGTGAGCTGGGGTGATGAAATGAACCCGATTTACTGCTCAGAGAGACTCTGTACCTGTTTCAGCAGGTTCTCGTCTCCCTAGCTGATATTTCTTGAAAGTGCCAGAATGATTTTGGATTTATCCTGCAAGTTCTTAGTACATGCTGAGTTGCTTGCGCCCCGATGTGATACATGCTGTAGGAGGCGTTCTGGCTTGAGTCTCCAGGGCCAATGGCCGTGAAATCGTTTCTTATGAAACTACAGGAGCAGAACTGAATTTGATTAAGTGGACCTAGCAAGGGTTAAGGAGACCTAGCCAAGCTTCACTCTGATGAGAAGACAGGTTACCTCCCATCCTATGCTCACTATCTATTAATTTATCTCTGTTCTTCCAGGGACCTTTGGGCAGGGTAGCCCCTGGGATATTTTCACTCCTGTCTCCTGGAGATACCCTGGAGTGCCCTGTGAAGTTCTGACAGATCCCCAGAGCATGCCTGCTCACCCAGTGCTGGAAGGAGGTGCTCCTGTCACGCACACAGGAGAAGAGAAGCAAGACAAAGTGGTGGAAGGCAAGGCCAGTGCTAAGGTGGGTCCTGGCACATCCAGTTTCCCTGGGCTTACTTTGTGGCTTCCAAGCGGATCAGCACGGGCTATAAAGTGCACCAAGGCATGGCCCAGAGAACCAAGTCAACACAGGAATAAAACTATGTCCCAAGATCGTGCTACTGACCAGGGCCAGGGGGCTTCTTTGTCCCTCGTGGTGGGGGGGTAGTGGGAGCTGATCTCCCAGCATCACTTGAGTTTCTCCTCCTTTTCACCAGCAAAAAGGCTGTTGTCTGTGGCCTTGGAACACAGAGAGACTTGGCATCATGCTCGACCCACTGTCACATCAGAGAGACGGACATGAAAATCCAGCCCGCGGCACACGCTCGCCGTTAGGAAATACATTTTAACGCTGGGCTTCCTGGCGAGTGAAAGGAAGGAATGGTCGGTTTAGTGCCTGAGTCTGTGAAAGTCAATGTCGGGGCAAGAGATGTTGAAAGGGCCCTGGTAGAGGCAGTCTTGATTTAGAGCTCAGTGAAATAGATGGATTTCCAAGAAAGGCTTGCCCTTTAATAAATTGAAAAGCAGGTCATTTCATGAGCTGTTGCTCACTGGTTATGTTACAACTCAAAGAAGGACACCTGCTTTGCCAGCAAAATCATGTGTCTTAGATTTTGGCTTGGCAGCCCCTTGGAATACTGACCACACAGTGTATCCTCATCACTGACATCCTCGTGGAGCCCCAGACATGCTCAGAATGGGGAATAAAGGGACCAGGCAAGCATCGGGCAAGAACACCTTCTGTCTTGTCAGGGGTCTCTCACATTTCCCCATCTTGTCCTCACAAGCGTTCCCAAGGTTGTAACACAGTGCTTTGGTAGCTCCCAGGAGGCTCAGATGCATCCACGTGGCGCCATTGGCCTATTTAGAAATATAATCGTTTTTGGTGTGCATTCAATAGAGAGAAAATAAATGAGTTCATTAATTTTCATAGGCCCACAATTTGGAAAACAAAAGCACAGGGGGAGGTGGGAAGAGAGGAAGGAAGGAGCAAATGGGGGAAATGTGCTGATCTGCCCAAAAGCCCAGATCCATTGCTAGGCTCCACACCAGACCCAGAGAAAAATCAGACTGATTCAGATGCAGGAAGGAGGGGGCAGAGGGAGGGTGGGATGGAGGGAGGGGGGAGGGGGAGGGAGGGGAGGGGAAGGGAGGGGGGGGAGGGGAAGGGGGGGGGAGAGGAGGGGGAGGGGAGGAAGGATACTCACTTCAACACAATCCAAACACCTAACTCATGTGATGTTCGCTCTCCACAGGCAAAAGAGGGTGATGCAACACACTTCATGAGTGACCTTGATCTTCTGTAGGCAAACCATTAGGTGCTTCCATGTTTGTAATTCTGCCCAACTTGATTCCAAATACCCCAGGAAGCAGTCTGTAAATTCTTTCCAAGAAAAATACACACACACACACACAAAGAAACTGAGGAGCCCTTATATAGTGTATCCGGACAGGATTTCCCGGGTGGTCCGGTGCTTAGGACTCTGTGCTTCCACTGCAGGGAGCATGGGTTTGACCCCTGGTCAGGGCACTAAAATCCCACATGCCGCGAGGCGCAGCCAAACAAACAAAACAAAACAAACACACAAACAAAACCTAAAAAACAATGTGTTTGCAGCGCTGTTTACGAGTTAGGGTTAACTGAGGTCTACTCTGAAGTTCGCCTTCATTAGCTGTGTGGCCTCCAGCAATGGCTTCCACTGATTTATAAAATGAGGGGTGGGACTGGCTGATCTTTCAGTTTCATTTCAGCCCTAAAAATGCTATCTTTCGGGCTTCCCTGGTGGCGCAGTGGTTGAAAGTCCGCCTGCCGATGCAGGGGACGCGGGTTTGTGCCCCCGTCCGGGAAGATCCCACGTGCCGCGGAGCGGCTGGGCCCAAGAGCCATGGCCGCTGAGCCTGCGCGTCCGGAGCCTGTGCTCCGCAAGGGGAGAGGCCACAACAGTGAGAGGCCTGCGTACCGCAAAAAAATTTTAAAATTTTAAAAAATTAAAAATAAAAAAATGCTATCTTTCTCTGCACATCAGTTTTGCACAACTGAACGTGTTGACGGGATTCTGGGTGTCAGGAGTGATTCTTCCAGGATGCTAGCCTATCAAACACAACCACAACTAACATAAGCTGACTGAAGGCAGAAAGCCATTCACCTGGAAACCATCACAGATGAGTTGGGAGTTTGAGGGTTGAGTGAAAGCTCAGGGGAAAATGTTCCTGTTATCTAACGGATTCAGCCAGCCTGGGTCTTGTTCTAACACAGAAAATCCACGTAACTGACAGGTTATCCTTGCTCCCTGTCACCAGTGTCATCCTGGGTTCCTCCTCCCGTACCTGCTCCTTCTGCCTCCAGCCTGAAGAGACCTCTAATCCTCTCTCCAGAAGACGCCGTCCTTGAAGTGAAAGAAGACACACATGGATGGGATGCATTTTGCAGTGACAGGTCAGCCTAAAAGAAACACCCAGGTTGAAGCGAGGGCCCTCCTGAAATAAAAGGCAGACTTTCCTGGCCGAGATATCCCAGGCCACCCTGTCATCAGCATGAGTCCCTTGTCCCTAAGCCCCACAGCCTGTGAGTATGGCGAGGTCACAGCTCAGATCTCACCAGTTTAATGTCCTGCCTGCTTGGCTCGGGACGCTCCGAGGAGCCCCCTTTTTGTCTGGCCATCCCACGTGCTCAAGGGCTACCTCTCAGGTCCTTTCCCTTGAGCTCCGTGGCTGTCATTACTGCCCACCAAGCTGTTTGAGGCAGGACCACCTGGCTATTCCTCCCACAGGAGTCCAGGGCAGCCCCTGTGACCTCCTGAGGGGCTGAGCTGGGGGCCAGGGCCTGGGGCTCCCAAAGCTGGGAGCGTCCGGGGCACCGCCGTCTCCCTGCACTGGGGCTTGGGTTCTACAGAGAAGTAGGGCGAGTGAATACTGCCTCTCGCTCCAGTTCTGTGAGGAGTTTTGTCCCCCAGACCCCGACACCAGCTTTCCTGAGTCCCAGTCACCAAGACAACTATAGACACGGCCCCTTCAGTGTCCCCTGCCCCTCCTCTCATCAGGGGACTTAGATCTAGGTCGTGGGGCTGCATGAGCAATGACACTCCCTCACCCCAACTTCCCCAGTTTCTCGGTGCAGCAGCTCCATGGCCATGAGCCCAGGCCGCTTGTGCACACTTCTACCCCATCTCAGCTCTGGCTTCTGTCTTCACGGTGCCTGGAGGTACAGACGGCTGCTGGGGCCTCCTGCTTCCACCCGCACTCCAGCCAGCGTGGATAAACAGGGGCGTGCAGAACAGGGGTCCAGGACAAACGGGGTGCACCTTCCAGCCAGATCATCTCCCTTTACGGACTTTTCCAGGAGGTCCTGCACACTTCTGCTCACATCTTGGTGGCCAGAACTTAGTCACACGGCCACACCTCCCTGCAAGAGAGGCTGGGAGTTCTGTAACTAAGGAGGAAGGTAGGAATGGATTGGGGGTAGACAACTAGCAATCTCTGTTCCGGGAGGTCAGATAGTAAAATGCTTCAGATGCCATCAAAGTCAGAGGGTATCACACATAGAAACACCATGCATCATGCATTTCATGCAAGAAAGTGGCAGAGAGCCATGCATCTAAAGTTTGGTTTGGGAGAGCACTAGGCTTATTAGAATGTGTCATGGGCTTTGGTTACGGTCAGAGGTCTGTCTTTGAAAACAGTGTGGGGGACTTCCCTGACGGTCCAGAGGTTAAGATCCCACACTTCCACTGCAGGGGGCGCGGGTTCGATCCCTGGTCAGGGAACTAAGATCCCGCACGCCGCATGGTGCGGCCAAAATAAAAAGAAAGCAGTGTGACCTCAGGCGAGTCATGTAAACTCCCTGTCTGTACACCTGGAGATCTCCCAGGTGGGTCTGCAATCTCATGAGATGGTGAATGTGTCAGTGTGTTAGACTCTGAGACGGAATGGAGGGGGCTCCTCTGTCCACCCCGGCTGGTGTCGGGGTCTGGGGTTTGAGGGTTTGACACCATCGGCATCTTCCTGGTTGGCGGCAGCAGAATGAGCGCCATCCTCTATACACCTTCCCAGGACCTGCTGTGGTCTTAGTTGCCTCAGAGTGTGAGTCTGCCCAGGCTGCTGTGACAGAACACCATAGACCAGATGACTCAAGCAACAGACATGTATTTCTCACAGTCCTGGAGGCTGGAAGTCCACGATCAAGGTCTCCACCAATTCAGTTCCAAGCACAGGTGGGCCTTCATCCTGGCTTGCAGTCCGGCACTTTCTCTCTGTGTCCTCATGGGGTGGAGAGCAAACTCTATCCCCTCCTCTTCCTATAAAGCCACTAATCCTATCCGAAGGGCCCTACCCTCATGACCTCACCAACCCTAATTACCTTCCAAAGGCCCCATCTCTAAAGACCATCACACTGGGGGGTAGGGCTTCAACATGTGAATTTGGTGGGGGGCGGGGGTGGGGCGGGGTGCAGGGGATACAATTCGATGCAAAGCGCTGAAACTGCTATGGGATGCAAGGTGGGAAAAGGCTTCCCAACAACATAAACACTCAGCTCCCACACAGCAGGAGGCGGCCACAGCATATGCTTGTACTCTCTTGCTTTCATCCGCTCCAAGTAGAGGCAGTACAGGAAGTCATCTCTGAACGCAGAGATGGTTCTGATTCTTATTCACTTTTTGGTGAGTGGCTAAATGAGTGAAATGGAAAGTAGAAGATGTGAGCAGTGAACGAGACCAGAATGGGGCTGCTTAGAGGGTCCCAAACAGGAGGTTGAACAGCAGAAGCCCTCTCATCCAGCTGGATCAATACCGGTGGTCGTTGGGTTAATTTAAAAATGTACATTTGGGGCTTCCCTGGTGGCGCAGTGGTTGAGAGTCCGCCTGCCGATGCAGGGGACGCGGGTTCGCGCCCCGGTCCGGGAGGATCCCACATGCCACGGAGCGGCTGGGCCCGTGAGCCATGGCCGCTGAGCCTGCGCGTCCGGAGCCTGTGCTCCGCAACGGGAGAGGCCACAACGGTGAGAGGCCAGTGTACCGAAAAAAAAAAAGTACATTTGAAGGCAAGGAACCATTAAAAAATTGTATGTACACCCTATAAACATTTCAGTTCAATTCTCAAGAGTAGAATTCATCCCCAATCTTTTGATGTCGGGCCAAGGCTTTTTCTTCAAGTCAGAAGCAAGTTCAGCCCAGTCTGCCATAAATGCATTATTCATCATGTTCAGTTTGTGCTTTTTTAAAGTAGAGCAAGAACTTAGAGATATTTGCAAAGCAATGAGACAGTACTATACTTTTCGTTCTTTTATAATTTCCCCCAAGCTTTAACAGTTGTCTCATGTATCCTCAATTCAACATGACCCTTAATCTAGTCTTTTCCAAGTACTCATCTTAGTTTTCACAAAGTTCTTTCACACTAATTTTATCAATTTTCATTTTGTTTAAACACATTTATAATCACAATAAAATGTACAACTGGCACACACAAGTTTGGGAACAAATACAGCTGATTCTTGTTAATTATACGACTCAACCCCTCAGCCACTGGGAGCAGACGTGCCATCTACCAGACATGAACGTCTAGAACATTCTGTGGACATTTGGCAGGGTGTTTACAGACAGTCAGTCCATCCATCAGTTCAGTTAAAAGAGTGTCTACCACATGTGATTCTTTGAGCAACACAGATTCCCTGGAAATCAGATCGGTGCTTTCCCTGGCAGATTGGCTGTAGCACCGAGGACGGGAAGGGAGAAAGTGTGAAGGAGGAAGGTGATGCTCTTGGCATTAGTCTACCCAGGTTAGTGTTGCCTCACCTGCATCACCTCAGTGGGGCCCATCCTCCTGCAATAGCACAGGCCTCATTCAATGTCAACCACTCTCGAGGGTCTTCCACCGAGGGCCACTGCTGACACTGAGGTAGGGAATTGCTACGTTACTTTGTTCGTTCTCACAGCCTCCTGGGGACGCCCTCCTTGTTATCTCCACATACAGATGAGGAAAATGAGGCTTAGGGGGATTTGTGATTTGCCCAAAGTCAAGCCACTGGTCAGTGGTAAGGCAGGAACATGGTCCCACCCTCTGTCCATTCCCCAACAGTGAAAGGACCGGGCCTTGGAGAAGGGCTTTTGTTTGAGCATCGGAAGAAGTAGAAGCTATTGGCAATGGGCAGATCATTGTGGAATCAGGAATCCTCCCCAGAATGCAAGCCTGAGTGATGGCGCCGGTGTTACTTGCCGAGACACACAATGGCTGAGGTTCCTTAAGTGGAAAGGGGTGGAGAGGTGGCCAGGAGTAGGCACTTCTCAGGCTGTGCAGGGTGAAGTGAGTCCGG